TCAGGGAGGAGTGATAGGAAATGGCAAAAGACACACTGACAAAGGAGATTAATCTGAACTGGTTTTGACAAGCACTGTGGCAATGGGACAATTAAAACAGAACTTTCAAGGGCAAAAAAAAGAGAGGAACAAATGGGGGGAAGGCTAGAGAAAACAGTGCAACAATGAATGAATGGAAATCCAAAATATCTGTAAATGTTCATTAAAATTAATAAAATGAAATTTAAACAAAAAAAGAAAAAGAAAACAAAAGGAGAAGATACTAAAGTAAAAGAGCTGAACAGAAGATCTTTTTAAATGACAGCTCAAGAAGACAGGAAAAATATTCTAATGGGATGTGCAAAGAGCTAGATTTGGAGAATAAAAGGGAAGACATAGCTCTGTATCTCTCAAGCTGAGAAACTTAAAATTTAAGCCTCGAGTCACAATATTGAAGGATGCTATGTGCAATATGTGGAATGACCCAGGAAGCATCAAAAGAAGATTGAGGGAATACACAGAGTCAGTGTACCAAAAAGAATTGACTGATTCTGCAATATTTCAGGAAGTGCTGGATGGACAAGAGCCAACGGTAATGAAGTAGGGAGTTAAAGCTGCTCTGATGTATTGGCAAAAAGGAAGGCCCTTGGAATCAATGAGGTACAGATTTGCAGGCTTCAAGTAACAGATGCATCCCTGGACATGCTCACCAGTCTTCACCGTGTCGTTTAAAATTAATAGTGCATCAGAGTTGTATCCTTCCATACTTGTTCTATGTGTATGCTGATCATATTATTTGGGAATCTAGGCTCTACAAAGAAGAATGTGGCTTCAAGATCAGGGGAAGACTCATTAATAACCTGCATTATACAGAAGACACAAACTTGCCTACTGAAAGTCAGGAGGATTTGAAGCACTTGCCACAGAAGAGCAAAGAATACAGCCCTCAGTATGGATTGTATTTCAATGCCAAGAAAACAAAAATTCTTACCATTGAACTGATAGACATTATTATAGACAGAGTAAAGACTGAAACTGTCAACAATGTCATCATACCTGGATTCATAATCAACACTGTTGGTACTAGCAGTCAGGAAATCAGGAAATGTAAAAGAGCATTCCAGTGTTTTTCATTGAATCAATATTGGAACAAAGAGCCAGGTCCTTCTTCCTACAAAAGGGTTGGGTAGATGCATAGTTCCATCCTTTGAGATCGAGCTGAAATATCAACCATGTGCCATCAAAGCTTTCCATACCAGGACATTCCTTTCCAGTCATGTACAGTCTGACTCATAGGCTTGGTAGAGGGCACAGCAGAACCGCCTCATAGAATTTCTAACGCTGTAATCTTTGCTGAAGTAATTTGTCAGGTTTTTTCTACTCTGGGCTGACTGGTGGGTTTCAACTGCTTTCCTTTTAATTTGTGGCCAATTGCTGTAATAGGTAATTATTGTGTCTCTTACTGCTCTAGTGAACCTAATGATAAAAAACAATACCACGACATTGACACAGATGTGGGAGAAAACTGTATAAAAGGAATATATGATTAGGTATTATTGCCATGATAAGAGTCCAGTATAAGAGCTGCATAGTAAAGTGGTCCAGGGGGAGGGGGACTGTATAACAATGAAATAACTTTTTATTTCTTCTCAAAGAAAAAAGTGAATTGGAGAGGGGAGAGGGGGCAGGAAGGAAAATGTCCAAAAATGAATAAATGGAAATCCAAGTTCTTTATAAACTTTCATTAAAATCTCAATTAAAAAAAAACCACTAAGCTTTCTCTTTGATGCATGATCAACTTAGGATATATGAACTTAATGAGAAAAAAGACAATAACTAATAAAATAATAATAATAATACTGTAGTGCATGCTACATCTAGTTTTTATGTGAATGAATAGAAATATATGCAGTATGAATAGCATAAAATAATAAGCTATTTAGTATGGTCTTTAGTAAGGTCACCTCGGATAACAGCAAAGAGGCGTCTTTCAGGTAAAACCCAGAAAGGAAAACATAATCTACAAAGGAGTTCTACGGGACATGTCAACTTCTCTTGGAGACAGTACAACTAAACTTAAGAGACACTGGTCAAAAGAAAAAAAATGTCAGCAGTTGACGTGTTTGGAATCACCGAAGCCAAGAAAGCTTAAGATACAAGCAGTCGGATCATGGGTTGGACAATGAAAGATATTTTCTGAAGGGACTTGGCAGATGTGAAGGGTTATCCTGGTGGAGGGTGGATCTAGAAAGTAAGTGGGTCAAGGCTCTGGGCTAGGGGTGGGGTCAACACTATAACT